ACAACCGTTAGTTTAAAAATTATTGATTCCAGGGCCGGCCCCGTGGCTTATCGGTTGAGTGCGCGCGCTCCACTGCTGGCGGCCCGGGTTTGGATCCCGGGCGTGCACTGACGCACCGCTTGTCCGGCCGTGCTGAGGCCGTGTCCCACATCCAGCAACTAGAAGGATGTGCAACTATGACATACAACTATCAGTCGACTGGGGCTTTGGGGGAAAAAAATAAAATAAATAAAATTAAAAAAAAAAATTTGTTGATTCCCCAACTGGTGTTGTGATCACACACAAATCCTAGTTGCAGGATTTACTTGCAGGCTACTGAAGCGACTTGAATTAATTTATGGGAGAAAGGAATTGAGTACAAAAATCATTGCAAGGCCTCCAGGAGCTGTAACTTCTAGGTCGAGTTTCCTGGAACACCCGCCAGCCTCCAGAGTCCTGCCTCTGCAGAACTGGGCACGTTGCCCGTGTGCCTCCTGACAGGAAGCTGTGAGAGCCACTGAAGGAGCCGGGCTACCTCTGCGGCAGCCTCCCACTCCAGAAGCAGATGCCCCTGCCCCCTGCCACCCCCCACTGACTCAGACCAACAGCCAATATGGCAAGAGTGTCTAGGGAGTTCGATTTCTAACCTTTTCGGTGTCAGTAGAAGGGAATTAGAATAATCATAGCTAACATGAACTCTGTATTAGTTTCTTGTGGCTCCTGTAACAAATGACCACAAACTGGGTGGTTTAGAACAAGTTCTGGAGGCCAGAAGCCTGAAATAGGTTGTCGGCAGGGCCACACACCCCCAGAGTGTCTAGGGTGGGAACTTGTGGCTCCTGCAGGACTTGAGGCCCCTTGCTCCGGTTTCTGCCTCCACGTTCCCATTGCCTTCACTCCTGTGTCACATCTCTCTCTGCATCTCTCAGTAAGGACACTTGTGATGGCATGTGGGGCCCATCCAGGCAATCAAGTATAATTTCATCTCGACTCAACTTAATTACATGTGCAAAAATACTTTTTCCAAATAAGGTAACAGCCACAGGTTGTGGAGATTAGGACAGGGACATAACTTTGGGGGCCACCGTCAGCCCCCTACAAATCCTCGTGTGTACAGGCAGTGTCCTAAGTACTTTGTTGTTGTTGGTGGTGGTGGTGGTGAGGATTCGCCCTGAGCTAACATCTGTGCCAGTCTTCCTCTATTTTGTATGTCAGTCCTGCCACAGAGTGGCTGATGAGTGGTTGCTGCTGCTGAACATCCTACAAGCTACGGGAAACACCCCGCACCCACCCACGTACATGCGAAGAGTCATCAGGCCCCAGATGTCGGTGGTGCTGCTGTTGAGAAGTCCCGCAGTGGGGCGTTTGGGGGTTTGAAGAGATAACCTCTTCATAGTGTTAAAAAAATAAAAATAAGTAACCATTGAGAGTAACTGCTTAATCAAGAAGAAATGTAGTTTTACTGATCGGATTTGAATCTGAGTCCAGAGATAAATTGTCCATGGAGTTGGTGGCATGCCGAACTTCTCTTGAGGCTGTGGTTCTGGAACGAGAGCCTCGGGAGTCGCCTTCGGGGCCTGTTAACCCCAGCGGGGCTGGTTGGGCTGCACTCGGAGAAGCTGCCGTGAAGGAGCGTCTCTGGTGTGGCCGCAGGGTGTGTGCACAGTTCTAGCTTGTCTGTGACCTTGTCTTCTGACCTGGTGCTTCAGCCGCAGGGCGCTCTTTTCTTATGGAGCGTGCATCCACACGTCCTCCCCGCCTGACTCACCGCACTAGTTCTGCCTCTTCTGGAGACCACAGGAGTTACTGATGTCCCCATGCAGCTCCCCTTTGGGCAGTTACCACCCAGGTGAAGGCCGTGAGTCGTGTGCTGTGTAAACACAGGCCCTGTCCTGCTGTCGCCCTGCCCTCCCCTTAGGTGAGTGCCCAGCCTGTCACTGCTGGGCTTGTCACTTGCCCTGATCGCGTGTGCGCAGAGTGGAGCTTAGAAGGGGCTGCCTCGGGACTAAGTGGGGGAGTGTGGGCTCTTGGGGTCAGACACGTCCTAGTCTACATTCTACCTGTGTCCCCCGGCTGTGTGGTCACAAGCAAATACACTGAGTAAGGGCTTAACCCTCCTTGTGGGGTGGTTATGAGGATTGGATGGGACGAATTGGCCAAAAGCTCCCGGCACCAGTGTCTAGAGCATCCAGCAGGTGGTATGTAATGTTGGTGTTGCCAGCCTTTGTTTTCTGAGGCCCTTTCTATTTTATTTAACCCTCCCTTCCCCATACCTTGTTTATTTTCTACCTTCCTTCATCTACCTGCCCCCGCCCCCCCATCAAAACAGAAGAGAATTACGTACCATGGTGTCATCTCAGAGGCTGGGAATTCAGGTCGATAATCTGCAGGGGATTTGTGTTTAATCGTGTAAGTGTCTTACTGTGCTGGGGGACAGTGGTGCTCAGGGCGGTTGGGGTATATAAGAGCTGTTTACCACTGTGCTTGTAATTGCTGTGATTAAAATTTTAGGTTTCTGTGGTCTAGCTCTTGGCAATAAACCATTCCTTTCCCTTGTTCCTGTATATTGCTTTGATTCACGTTCTTCTTGACTGATTGATTGGTTGCTTCTCAGTTTGCCCTGATCCTGGAACCTGGAATATCAAGCTTAAAATGATATACAGGTTAAGGGTGACTGGGTTGTGAGTTGCTGGCCCGGAATGGGGTTGGGAGCTGGGGTGGGGCACCCTGTGGGGACTCTGAGGAGGACACAGACTTTGCTCCGAAAGCTTCATGTGGTAAACTTACTGGTTTTGGTCATTGAGATTATGGGCTGAGTTTTCTTACATGGAGCTAGTTTTGAGCTAAATGAACTAAGTACCTTTCGGGGCAGTTGAGACGAGTAACACAATGATCGTTTAGTGTACTAAGACTGAGGAAATCCATGCCTTCCTTTCCTCCATAGCTGCGCCCCTTGTGGGTCACGGTGCTGGAATGTTCTCTCTGGGATCTCCTGTCATACCATGCGCTGATTTTTAATTCTCTGCTCTGAATTTCAGGCCAAGTCGTGCGTCTGCCATGTTTGTGGTGTCCACCTCAACAGGCTTCACTCTTGCCTCCACTGTGTCTTCTTTGGCTGTTTCACAAAGAAACATATTCATGAACATGCGAAGTCGAAACGGCACAACCTGGGTAAGGTGCCCTCCTGCGATGTCTCCCTGGCATTGGGAATCGTCCCAGCCCCCGACTGCTGCTCTTTGAACTTGGGTTTGCATTCACTCTTCCAGCAGTCCGCTGCTTTTATCTAAAATCGTTTGTGCCCTTGTGAAACTCCACAGGGGAGATGGAAGGGATAAACTGAGCTCAGGTGGATTATGTACCCAGCTTGCCTTAAGGCATTTAAGTTGGTGTTAATATTTTATGTAACCTTAAATGATAAATTATGGTGGCTCACTGTTTCAGCTGACTTTCTTGGAAATGTTCTTTTTCTTTAATGGGGTATCATAGACTCATCTTTCCCTCTGAAAAGCATGATTAAGTATTAGGTTAGGCAAAAATCCACAAAGAACGAACTTTTTTGTTGTTGTTTTTTGTGAGGAAGATCAGCCCTGAGCTAACATCTGCCAATCCTCCTCTTTTTGCCGAGGAAGACTGGCCCTGGGCTAACATCTGTGCCCATCTTCCTCTACTTTATATGGGACGCCGCCACAGCATGGCTTCACAAGTGGTGCGTCGGTGCGTGCCCGGGATCCGAACCTGCGAACCCTCAGCTGCCTCAGCGGAGCGCGTGCACTTAACCACTTGCGCCATCCGACCGGCCCCCACAAAGAACAAACTTAAACGCAGTGTTAGGTTATTGATGGCAGCACGCAGTTGGGTGGACATAGGTGATTTTTATTGCTTTTTTAGTGGAGTTTTGTTGTTCTCAATAATACAGGTTCATGAAAAGGCTACCAACACTGGCATCAAGATAATTGACATTCGGGCCGGCCCCGTGGCTTGGTGGTTAAGTGCGCGCGCTGCGATGCTGGTGGCCCGGGATCGGATCCCGGGTGCGCATCGAGGCACCACTTCTCCGTCCATCCTGAGGCCGAGTCCCACATACAGCAACTAGAAGGATGTGCAGCTACGACACACAACTATCCACTGGGGCTTTGGGGGGAAAAATAAAATAAATAAAATCTTTAAAAAAAAAAAAAAAAAAAGATAATTGACATTTCATAGACTTAGGAATTCAAACTGTCATCATACATTCTAGAAGTTACCTAAAGCAGAGTTTTGCTCTTGGGTTTATCTTTTGACTGTGGTCATTCTTGTTTTTTTACTTCCAAAAGGGATCCATTTATGAAGCACTATCTTAGAAATTAGAAATTATAATTCTTTTTTTTTGTTTGTTTATTGCGGTAACATTGGTTTATAACATTGCTGACTGTGGTCATTAAATGTTTCTCTCCTTCAGAATAGTGTTTTTTGTTAAATGATTGTGAGGTTGTTGGGATATACTTAAGAAAATCACTTTCAAAAGGTCCAAGCCAGGGCCGGCCCTGTGGCTTGGTGGTTAAGTGCGCGCGCTGCGATGCTGGTGGCCCGGGTTCGGATCCCGGGTGCGCATCGAGGCACCACTTCTCCGTTCATCCTGAGGCCGAGTCCCACATACAGCAACTAGAAGGATGTGCAGCTACGACACACAACTATCCACTGGGGCTTTGGGGGGAAAAAAAAAAAAAAAAAAAACTTTAAAAAAAAAAAAAAAAAAAAAAGGTCCAAGCCAGAGAACCTGTTGTAGAAAACACTTCTAGAACATTTTTTAGGCCTTTGTAAGTGATAGAGATGGAATTGGGCTAACTTGGTCATCTCCAGTGGACGTGTCTCATTTGTAACTGTTACAGTGAGCATTTGCAAAGAGGCTACTTGGCTTTGGGGGCTCAGGTTGTGACAGTGTGCTCCTTGGCCTTTTTGGAGGGAGAGCTGATGGCACTAGCAGTGTTCGCATGAGCTGTGGGTGTGCAGGCTGCCTGTCCCACGAGGGACGAGGCCGTTAGTGGTCCCTTCTTAACACTGTGTGACCAGAGCAACGGGGCGCTGATCAGGGTGGTCTGGGCGTGGTGGAGTTCTGTGTATCTACTTCCTGTGGATCTCTGCTTATAAACTGTAAAGGAAGGGTATTCCTGCCATGTCTGATTCTCAGACCAGGCCCACTGAGGCTGCTGTTACACCTGGGCTGTGAGTCCACGTGGCTCAAAGGGTTATGGAAAGTTGGAAATATATCTGCACTTCAAGAAGCTGCCTGAAGAATCTTACTGTTACCCAGTATCATCTACAAAAGTCTCTTCAGAAATTTGTGGTGTTTATTCATTTTCTCAACCTGATTGATCAACTCTGCCTCTACTTTGGCTAGAATGAATAAATTTTGGAAAGTTTGCTTGAAGAGACAGAACCCTGAAATGGGAGGAAGATGCCCCTCCTTGCTGTGTTCGAGTCCGTGAATTTATTGAAGGCTGCCTGTGTGTGTTCACAAAGCTGACGTTGGTTTTGTGTGTCAGATGGGGAGGAGGGCAGGGAACGAGAGAGGAAGTGAGGGCACACCTCCCCGAGGGGGAACGGGGGTGAGCAGCCCTGCTCCTATCTGGCCCTTTGTCTCAGTAACCCGACTCGCTGAGTGCAGACTCGTCCCCCCACTGTGTGTCTCACTCTGCTGCTCCCGCCTGTTCCCACAGAGCGACGCCGCAGGCTGTCAATATTTTGGTTATCATTTTATGGGGGGTGTTTTGCAGAACATTCAAGGGCAACTTAATTGAGCTGCCTAGTGTTGCATAAGGAGCGAGAAACCTTGATTTCCTTGTGGCCAAGTTCTTCTACCTGCTAGAATATCCAGTAGGAGAATACTGGTACCTAAAGTGGATTATTAGAAGCGTTTCTCACTGGGCAGCCAGTTTTTCATTGGAGCAGCAGGAGAGGCCTGCAGTGAGTCCTGTCTGAATGTTGTGGGAGACGCACCTACAGGTGGAGTGTCGGGAGCTGTGGGTCATTGTTGAAGGCCGTGTGCAAGGATGGGAGTACGGCGTGGACGAGAAGGGTCCGACAGCAGTCTGGTGAAAGGGTCTGCTTCCTTTGTCCAGCCTGCCCTCTAAAATCGCCTTGATGTGGTGTGATCAAGTACACACGTTAGAGACAAGAACGTACTCTAGTGTGGTGTAGTCGTCAGCTTTGCGGGTCTGCTCCATCTGCTGGCAGGTGTGCTGAGCGTGATGTTGGGGTCTCAGGTAACCATGAGGCCAGTGCAGTAGAGGAAGATGACAATCCGGGAGCTGTTTGATTTCCTACTTTTTAGTTTCATACAAGTTTTTGTTTTATGCTGAGTCACAAGGGCACGTGGATTTTGAGCCACGAAAGGTGTAAAAGTAATGCCTTTAGCTTTGTTCCATGCATCTTAGAAGCGTTACTTTAGTTGCCAAAAAAAGATTATGAGTACGTGTGTGGGAGTGGGGCGAGTGGATATCAGCTTACTTCTGAGTTGATGTTTTCCCTCCATCCCCAGGGTCATCCTGTGACCCAGGGGAAAAGGACCTGCCCATGCATGGTACCTGTGTCAGCTGATGGCTTGGGAATTCCCAAGTAAGCTGAGGGATAAAAACAAAACCAATAGGAGAGCCCCACAGTACTTAGGGCCTGTCTCCACGCTTCCTGGACAATGCTTCTCGCTCATCCAGGCGGCTGGATTCCTATACTTGATCCTTTTGTCTTGACACAGTTAAGGCTTCATCCTTAGAATAGTTATCTTGACTGTGAAATAATTTTCCAAGGGAGCTGCCTTGATGTGGGTGTTGCTTTGGATTTTAAAATTTTATATTGAGGTGAAATTTGCATAGCATACGGTTAACCATTATACAGTGTACGGTTCAGGGGCGTTCAGTCACTCACTGTGTTGTGCAGCCACCACCTCTTTCTACTTTCATAACTTGTTCGTCGCCTCGGAGGAACCTCGTCTCTATTAACTAATCAGTCCCCGTTCTTCCTGGCCTCCACTTGTCTGCTTTCTGTCTCTGCGTTTGCCTGCTCTGAATGTTTCCTGTGGGAGGACTCATACAGTATGTGACTTCTGTGTCTGGATCCCTTCTCCTAGCATGTTTTCAGGGTTCGTCTGTCTTGCAGCATGTGTCAAGAATTCATTCCTTTGTGTGGATGAATGATCTGTTGTGTGGATATTCCTCATTTTGTTTATTCATCGTTGATGGACATTGGGGTTGTTTTCACCTTGAATCCTGTTGTAAACGTTTGTGCATATGTTTCTAGGTGGACATATGTTTTCATTTCTCTTGGATATATACCTAGGAGTGATATGGCAGAGTCATATGGTAATTCTATGTTTAATTTTCTGTGGAACCATCAGACTTTTCCACAGCTGCTGTACCGTTTTACATTCCCACCAACAATGCATGAGGGTTCCAATTTCTCTACATTCTTGCCAACACTTATTTTCGTTCTTTTTTAACTTTAGCCATCATAATGGGTATGAAGTGGTATTTTATTGTGGCTTTGATTTGCTTTTTTTTTGGTGAGGAAGATTAGCCCTGAGCTAACATCTCGTGCCCATCTTCCTCTACTTTTTATGTGGGATGCCGCCACAGCATGGCTTTATAAGTGGTGTGTAGGTCTACGCTCAGGATCCAAACCTGTGAACCCGAGGCTGCCAAAGTGGAGCACACGAACCTAACCAACACACCACCGGGCCAGCCCCGATGTGGGTTTTCTTAATGACCAATGATGTTAACTGTGTTTTCGTGTGCTTTTTGGTCATTTGTATATCTTTGGAGAAATGTCTATTCAGGTCACTTGCTCATTTTTTAGTTGGCTTGGGTTCTTTGTCTTTTGTTGTACCTTACAATATATATATCTCTCTCTATATCTCTGTATAAGTATTTTGGAAATATATATATATCTTCTGGATACTAGACCCTTATTAGATGATTTGCAGATATTTTATCCCATTCTGTGGGATGTCTTCTCACTTTCTTAATAATGTTCTTTGATGTACAAAGTTTAGGTTTTTTTCAATTTATTTATTTATTTATTTTTTTGTGAGAAAGATTAGCCCTGAGCTAACATCCATGCCAATCCTCCTCTTTTTTGCTGAGGAAGACTGGCCCTGGGCTAACATCTGCGCCCATCTTCCTCCACTTTATATGGGATGCCGCCACAGCATGGCTTGACAAGCGGTGCATCGGTGCGCGCCCGGGATCTGAACCTGGGCCGCCCCAGCAGAGTGCACACGCTTAGGCGATACGCCATGGGGCTGGCCCCCAAAGTTTAGTTTTGATGAAGTCCAGTTTATCAATGTTTTTCTGTAGTTCCTCATGCTTTTGGTATCAGATCATCCAATCTAAGACTCCATTGCCAAATCCAAGGTTGTGAAGCCGTACCCCTCTGTTTTCTTCTGAGTTTTATACTTCTAGCTCTTACTTAGGGCGTGATCCATTTCACGTTAATTCTTGTATGTGGTGTGAGGTGGGGGTCTAGCTTCAGTCTTTTGCATGTGGAGACCCAGTTGTCCCCCCCGCGTTTGTAAAGAAGACTGTCCTTTCCCCACTGAGTGGTCTTGGCACCCCTGCCAACGTCACCCGTTTTGTGCAGTGAGGGAACGCTGGTGTGGGGATGGCCTTGCGGAAGGGTGCTAGGAGGGCTGGGACCGCGTGCGTTCCCCGGGCTGGTCATTCCTTGTTGGCTCTGTGCTTAGCATATTTTTCATTGACTACCCTGCTTTCCTGAAATTTCCATCGTCCTCGTTGTAAGCTTGTCTCTGGCCAGATTTCTCTTTGGCATCCCCGTGCCGGGAGCTACACCCTTCAGGAGTGCGTAGTGCCGAAGCGCAGCCGCCTGAGCTCTTCACGGTGGCCTTGGTGTGGACTGTCGCAGATTTTGTTGGCGTTTTCTCAGGTTTTGGGAGGTGCGAGAGGTAGGCGTGGGATTTTTAAATGGCTGTTTTGAGTTTTAATGGACCTGCTTTAGAGGACTTGAAAGATCCACCACAATAGCACTTAGCTGCGTCATGGTAACTTAAGACGGGACATGAGGTGAAAGCTGTGGTTTGTTAAGACATTACTGTCCACCAGAGGGTGTACTGCAGTCCAGTTGTATGTGTTCACTTACCACACAGACCTGTGAGGAGTTAGTGCTGCTACTATCTCCATTAGCCCAAAGGGGCAACTGAGGCTCAGAAAAGTGGGGTGAGTTATCTAAGGCGCATAACTAGTAAATGGCAGAGCCAGGAGTAATACTGGTTATTCTAAAGTTGTGCTCTTTCCTCCATGCTGCATTGCCTCTCCAGCCTCTGATATTGCTTGGTGAATCTAAGCCAAAAAAATTCTCAATTGTTGAACAGAGATAGTACCTTTTTTCTAGGTGCTCAACAGACTTTATCGTATTTATCTGTACAGTGAAGTAACTAAGAATCCGGCATCATCCTTGTTTTATAGATGATGCAGCTGAGAAAGTATGCAGGACCCACTCGCAGGTGGGCAGCAGGCAGCCCTGGTTGTCTGATCAAAGGATGTTTTACCACTGTCCTGAAACTGCGAGTAGGCACATAGCTGTTGCGTTCCTTGTTCTAATAGTATCGGGAACTCTAGACGTAGTAAAACTGTATGTCAGGTGGCCGAGAATCCTTGTGGACTGATAATACTCAATGGAAGTTCGCTTGTTTTTTTGTGTGTGTGTGTGAGGAAGATCAGCCCTGAGGTAACATCTGCCAATCCTCTTTTTGCTGAGGAAGAGTGGCCCTGAGCTAACATCTGTGCCCATCCTTCCTCCACTTCATGTGGGACACTGCCACAGCAAGCGGTGCATCAGTGTGTGCCCAGGATCTGAACCCGGGCTGCCAGCAGCAGAGTGTGTGCACTTAAGCGCTACACCACGGGGCTGGTCCCAAGTTCCTTTGTTTTAAATACCACTCTTTCAGAGAAAAGGGAGAGGGGTCCTGATACGTGAGTATTAGGTCTTTGTAAAATATGGAGGTGGCACCTCTCTTCTCACTCAGACTCCTCAGCCCTTGGCAGGAGCTTCCAGAGAAAGTACACATACCTCATCTACTGAGGGTAAACTGTCTGCAGTGGGAGGGAATCTTTTTGTAGTAATAGGGTTCTGTGATTTGAGAGGAGAAAAATGGTGCAAACAGTCAAATGTCTAAAAACCTTCTATGTTTAATCTGTGTCTTTAAGCACTATCTTTTAATTTTTAATTAAATTTTTTCTCTCTTCCCTCCTTTCTCTTTTCAGCCATAGAGCTTATGTATGGCGGTATCTACTGCTTTTTGTGTCAGGACTACATATACGACAAAGACATAGAAATCATTGCCAAAGAGGAACAGCGGAAAGCTTGGAAGATGCAAGGTTTGGTTTTGCCTAGAATTATGTGACTGATTTATCTCTTAGTCCTGCATTCTCTCAGTCTGTCAAGGGCAAAACTCACTGAAAGAAAGATCAGTGTCTGGGGAGGGAGGGGGGGAGTGTGGGGAGATAGGATGGCAGCTGGGTTTTTGCAGGCTGTGTTCTGATTTGCTGGGAAGAGCCCGCACACCTGCTTGCTCCCTCCTGTAGGCTCGCCCTAGAGCCAGGAGAGGCAGGTGAGGTGACTGTCTGCGCAGGTGCAAATCCCCACAGCTTTCCGGAGCCGTCTCCCTGCCCCAGGTCCCCGACGGGCCTGGGGCTGCTTTGAGGGGCTCTGCTGGGATTGAGAAAGAATGAGCACCAACACTTATGCTCTCCCATTTGAGGGCGTGTTGACGGACACAGAGCTGAACCAGATGCAGCACCAGCAAGGCCACGTCCCCGTCGGGGGACAAATGGTCCAGTGCCCAGATGGCTCTGAAGAGTAGTCGGCCCTTAGCTCTCCAGGGTTCCGGAAAGCGGTCTCCTCAGTAGTAGTAAAAATGTATGCACCTGGTTCCTTCCCGGAGGGTAGACCATTTCCTGATTAAATTATTATAGAATCTCTTTTAAAACTCTTCACTGTTTTGGTTATGTAGAGAATTAAAATTGCCAGGTGGAAAATGTAGGAGTCTACCACTTAAGCCCTAGTTTAGGATGTTGCCCTCTGGCAAAGTGCCTTTGTAGCTATAAGGGAAAACCTCCCCTGTTTCCTTCTTGTGTAGAGAAAACCCCGTTCTTCCCCACTGTGTTTCTTCCCTGTGAGTCTCCTTTACCACTCACACAGAACGCTTCACCTCTGACACTGGTCACCAAATGTGTGGAGTTTTCCTCCCACCAAGCAATTCTCTGTGACACCAGCTGGTGTCCTACAATTTAACTCACTTCTGACACGACCTCCCCAGAGATGGTGTCAGATCCCACAGGCTAAGGGCTCCGTCCCGTGTGGTTGCCCCCCATTCACACGCACGCACTTCAGACGCAGGCCCAGATTCTGACTAATCCGCTGCGGATGGGAGGGTCCCTCAACGGCCCTCCTCAGGTTCGATTAATTTGCTAGAGTGGCTCACAGAACTCAGGGAAACACTTATGTTTAGCAACTTATTAAAGGATGTGATAAAGGATACAGATGAACAGCCAGATGAAGAGATACACAGGGTGAGGTCTGGGAGGGTCCTGAGCGTTGGAGCTTCTGTTCCCGCAGTGCTGGGGTGCATCACCCTTCCAGTGTGGATGTGCTCACCCATCTGGAAGCTCTCCAAACCCCATTTTATTGGAATTTTATGGAGTCCTCCTCATGTAGGTGTGATCAGTCATTAACTCCGTTTCTGCCTCCCTCCCCTCTCTGGAGGAGGGGGTGGGGATGACAATTCCAAGCTTCTCATCATGGCTTTCTGGTGACCAGCCCCTATATAGGGGTCTCCCCCCCACCAAGTCGCCTCATAAGAACAAAAGATGCTCCTGGCACTCGTATCACTTAGGAAATCACAAGGGTTCAGGAGCCCTGTGCCAGGATCTGGGGACGGAGACCAGTGTACATGTTTCTGTTACTCACAGTAGCTGTGGTACCAGTGTGGGTTTCTCACTCGCTGTCACTTCCCTGTCCACCATGTGCTTCCCTCATCGGGACATAGGCAGGGATGCACAGGAATATCATGTAACTGTTTTCTCATTGTTCATTTATTTCTTTTTGCTTCTCCTGATTTTTTTGTTTATTTCTATTCTCAACAGATGCTCATGGTGTACAGCAACAGTAATAGGTACAGTTAGCCCACTTGACTGGTGAGCATCTGTCAACTAGCAGAACTGTTACTATTTACAAAGAGAGCATACAAATTTAGCATCTGTTTTACAGTTTTTTGCCTTTATTCTGCTTTAAAAACAGCCCCATTTTCTGGGAATGGAACAGTAGAAACAGGTGCTCTCAGTGGTCAGAATGGTTTGTGTTTAACAGATCTTTTCTGGAGAACAGTCTCTAACCAACTTCCTATTTTTTTCCCACTTAAAAACTTAGTAACATTGCAGCTAAGTCTGAGTCTGAGTATATTATTTCTTTGTGCAGAACACTTAAACCACAGGCCTAAGAAATGCATGTCCCAGAGTAAAATAGAATTCTTCTAAAATCATTACACCGTTCCGTCTGTCAGTGAGATGCTATGCCTTTTAGAGTTTATTATTGAATTATACAGAAATTTTAGGGAGTATGGGAGGAGTACCTCTGAGTGAACAGGATGCATATTAGGCTGGAATGTTAGGCTTATTAGCATTTACACCATTATTGTCTTTCATTTGAATCTTTTATGGGTACAGCTGTTCAACAAGTTGTATTTTCAAAATACATTTCAACAAGTGCCTGTCCTTGCTGTCAGTTTCCCTTGCTCCCGGGAGAAGCCTTCTTCTGAGTTGGCATGTACTCCCATGGGCTCTGATGCTGCAGTGTTTACTCAAGGACTAAAGGCTTTGAAAAACCAACCATTTTGGCCTTAGTGTAAGGCTGGCTTTAATTGGAGCTGTTGCTTCCCTTCTCACAGGAAGCACTTATGCACACGCACACACAGCACATCCTCTAAAGAAACTCCTCCATGTGTTCTGTTAGTCCATCACAGTGCGATGGGTTTAGAAAGACCTCGTGCTGTGGCTCTCCCTCTCTGAAACAGCCTAAGGAGGATTATATGCCACCGCTTTTGTTTATAAACACACTTGATGAACATGGAGCTAACAGCACCTGGAACTGTCTTTCATGTGCTTAGGCGTCGGAGAAAAGTTTTCAACTTGGGAACCAACCAAGCGGGAGCTTGAACTGCTGAAACACAACCCGAAAAGGCGCAAGATCACCTCCAACTGCACCATAGGTGGGTGGGTGCCTGTGCGCTGGGGTCTGCCCTCAATCCAGTCAGGCTCACTTCTTGGGCTTTACCGTTGATGTTCACGACACGATTCTCTGTGAACCCCTGCATGCCTCTCAGTCATCGGTTTGCTCACCAACCGCTTCCTGATCCCCTCTTCTCTGCGGGGACCTGAGCAGGCGTGGGGTGCAGTGACGGGCGGACACGGTCCCTGCCCCGTGGCCCTCACACCATCGGATGAAGCCTTAAGTTCACTCCGGCCGGGTTGACGCCGTGTACAGTAATATGAGGAGGAGGAGTGTGTGTGTAAGGGAGGGTTCCCTGCGTTTTCTAAGAGTTCAAGAAGTACATCTTAGGAACTTTTTAAAAAGTTTGTTTGTTTGTTAGAGAGGCTTCTTTCTGGCCTGGCCTGTTGTTATAGAATATCTTTGGTAATTCTATCAAAACATATAATGGCTGAAGTTGGGGGGGTGATGGTAAACATTCCTCAGGACAATTCATATAAAAGTGGCATAAAAATTAGAGGAATGTTACATTTCTTTTTGCTTCTTGAATAAGTGAATAAAAGAGAATGAGCACATGACGTAAAGGAAGCCATTGCAATGCCATTGGGATTCAGTGGTGCATACACAGTAGTCCCCCTTCATCTGTGAGGCGTACGTTCCAAGACCCCCAGTGGATGTCTGAAACCTCAGATGGTACCGAACCCTGTATACGCTATGTTTTCGTATACATATGTACCTATGATAAAGTTTAATTTATAAATTAGGCACGGTAAGAGTCTAACAACAATAACTAATAACAAAGTTGGCTTTGGGGCCATTATTAAGTAAAATAAGGGTGACGTGAACACAGCACTGTGATACCACAGCAGTCGATCTGATAACTGAGACGGCTACTAAGAGACTAACAGCCGGGTAGCATATACAGTGTGGATACTCTGGACAAAGGGATGATTCACCTCCCAGGTGGGATGGAGCGGGATGGTGAGAGATTTCATCATGCTACTCAGAATGGTGCACAGTTTAAAACTTATGAATTGTTTATCTGGAATTTTCCATTTAATATTTTTGCACTGAGTTTGATCTCAATAACTGAAACCACGGAAGCAAGACCAAAGGTCCGGGGGCACTGCAGTGGTTCAGTGCCCAGGTCACTCTTGCTCTCCGCCCGCCTCCTGACCAGGTCTGCGGGGGCTGATCAACCTGGGAAACACCTGCTTCATGAACTGCATCGTCCAGGCCCTCACCCACACGCCGCTGCTGCGAGACTTCTTCCTCTCCGACAGGCACAGGTGCGAGATGCAGAGCCCCAGCTCCTGCCTGGTCTGCGAGATGTCGTCGCTGTTCCAGGAGGTGAGCATTGGTGACTGCTGCAGCGCAGCATTTCCGTAACTACCTGGAACTGTTTCCTGTTTAAAAAAATAAAATAAGGTTGACTATGAAAAAGGAAGGCAAATTTCTAAAACCGGATATAGTGAGTAAATATTTAATATGTGCATTTATTATGGAACACACGTTTTTTCTAAAAGAGGTTGTTAGGTAAGAGGCTATTGGCCTCGTCTTTTAGAGGCACACTGCTGACTTAGAGGATGAGAAAGAGCCCTTTGGAAGAAGCGTGACCAGTGGATGAAATTTGTCCGTAAATACTGTGGGGATTTTACCCTCCCCACGGCGTCTGCCATCCTGACTCACAGGGAGACGTGTGGACGTGCACGGCCGCTGTCCTGCTCTGTTCTCAAGGAGAGGGGGTCTTCCCGTCTATTGCCAGACCTTTTGAGTCTGCTTCACCGGAGGTCTCTGTCTTTGTGACCCTCTGTTCTGAACATCAGGTTCTGTTCTGCTGGGTGATCATGGGCTGCACTCAGCTGTGTCTGTCCCCAAACAGCACTCACAGCATGACAGAGCTCAGGGCTGGGCTCAGGCATCCTTGGGCTGGACCCTCTTTGCTCAGCTCGTGACCTCAGGAAAGGCTGTCTGGGTGAAGCAGCGGCAGCGGGGCTGGTTCCTGCCCTACAGATTGCTGACGGCACCTGGATGGATTTCAGCATCTAACGCAGGAGCCAGCAGGCACGGCCGAGTCCGTTTTCGTCCGTAACCTCTGACTGTAGCACCTCACTCCTGCTCAGCAGCCACCCCGCCGTTTACGTGCCGGGCGCTGGCTGCCCTCGCACGGCAGAGGCAGGAGTGGTCGAGCCCTTGCCATGGAGACCGTTGGGCCCGCAAAGCTGGGATCACATGCTGTCTAGCCCTGTTCAGAAAACGTCTGCTGACTGTGGTCTAGCCTAACCCAGGCCCCACGCACCCACAGTGGGCAGGGACTGGTGGGTTACAGCAGTGAACAAGCTGAACGACGTCTCCGGGCCAAATGAGAGGGGGCGGTGTGGTTGAGAAACTGCTGGGGGTGGGCCACACACGTGGGTCCACTCGTTTTCACTGGGCGCTTCTGGTGATGAATTCATGTCTGTCAGGGCGTTTTACAGGCTCAGGTTTATTAAGGTATAATGTACGAACAGCATAATTCGCCTTTTAGTGTACAGTTCTCTTTGTTTTGACAAATGCATGTCATAATTCATCGTTTTGGCTTCTCTGTAGAAAACAGATGGTGGGAAGGGAAAAACCAACATGCAGACTCAAGTCCAATGAGGGGCTGGCCCGGTGGCATAGTGGTTAAGTGCCTGCGCTCTGCTTCGGTGGCCCAGGGTTCAAAGGTTCGGATCCCGGGTGCGGACTGATGTACTGCTTATTAAGCCATGCCGTGGCAGTGTTGCATATAAAGTAGAGTGAAGATGGGCATGGATGTTAGCCCAGGGCCAGTCTTCCTCAGCAAAAAAGAAAAGTCTGATGAGTCCAAATAAAAATACGGTTTGCCAAAAAGAGGAAAACAAAATGGAATCATCTTTGTCAAGCTAGCCATAAGAAATTCTAGGCAGCTGTTAAGTATTTCTTCATTGTGTGTGCTTTGTGTTCAGAGGATAACATTTATTCCTGACAAGAGTTTTTGTTTCCTTTCTCTCTGAGCAGTTTTACTCTGGGCACCGGTCCCCCCACATCCCGTACAAGTTGCTGCACCTGGTGTGGACTCACGCCCGGCACCTGGCGGGCTACGAGCAGCAGGATGCGCATGAGTTCCTCATCGCGGCCCTGGACGTGCTGCACCGGCACTGCAAAGGTGCGCCCGGCGCCCTCATCCCTCGGGGGCACAGCGTGGGGGACCTGTTAGGTTTGGTTTGTATTATAATGTATATTTTCCCCCCCAGCCTCAGAGAGGTTCTCCATGGTTTTTAAGAGAGGAGGAAACCGTTTTGGGTGTTGTCTTCTCACCTTGCTGGGAGTGGAGCAGCGTGGAGATTCGTCCTCTGTCACCGTGATGGTGACAGTGAGCTCTCCATTCTTAATAGGCTTTGGCCTCGAGTCCTCTGCTGCCAGGTTCTGCTTGGCCTGATTTGGGAAGGAGCTTGTCTGCGGCTCCTCTGGGTTATCTTGGCCCGTGGCAGGCCAGGAGCTTCCAGATGTGCTCCAGATACAGCTTAACCATCAAAACTGGCTCCCTCCACCTGGGGAGTCTCCAGACGGACCGATTGATCGTCACTGTAAGGGAGCCGGAGAGAGCTGGGAAAAGAAAACAGCCTGCGCACTTGCCAGTGCTTCCCTGACCCTAAGTCAGGTTCATTTTGGGTCCAACCAAGGGCCTTTTACTTTCAGGTCTCTCTCAGGATCTCATTGGAGCTAGGCTCCTCCTCAGTGTGGTCCCACAGCCTGGCCCCAGAGGGCGGCGGCCTCGCCAGAGTTTTCAGATTTGTAGATGTTGATAGTCTGGGGGAGGGGCGGCGGGCAGCAGCTTTTGGGCTGGAGGCGGGAGATTAGGACTGAAGAACAAGCCTCAGTGGGTTCCTCCTCAGCCCTCCGCACGGCGGGCCTCCCGGTTTGGAGGCCCTGTGCTGAAGTTGACTGACTCAGGTATCAGCTGAGGGGTGGTTCTCAAACTGGAGTGTGGTCACAGTCACCCTGATGGCTCACTAGCATTTCTGTTCGGTGGGTCTGGAGTGAAGTCAGGACTCTTCACTCCTAATGAGTTTCTAGGTGATGCTGCTTCTGGCTCAGAGGGCACAGTCTCAAGTGGAACCGAGGTGTGCTGGGGGGGTGGCAGAGTTACCTGGTTCTTGTGGCCTCTGGGCTGGTACAGCTAGTTGTAGGTGATAACCCTCCTGGCTCATTTTCTTTTAATGTTGATATCTTTTAAGGAGCAAAGCCCTGGTTTTCTGGGTCTTGTTGAGTGGCCTCATACTGCTCCTTCTCAGTCTCAGGTCACTGGGCTGCTCTCTTAAGTGCCCTGTGGGGTCTGAGGTTCCAGCTCAGAGATAAGTCTTATTCCAGACTTGAAATAAGACAGCTTGTTCTTGATTCTCATGGCTTTGAGTTTAGGTGTTTTGTGTGTGTGCAGTCACGCACTGCATAACGACGTTTCTGTCAACAGTGGACTGCACGTACGACGGTGGTCCTGTAAGATTAGTACCGTGTAGCCTAGGTGTGTAGGAGGCTACACCACCTAAGTCTGTATAAATGCACGCTGTGATGTTTGCATAACAACGAAATCGCCTAACGATGCATTTCTCAGAACGTGTCCCCATCATTAAGCGACGCGTGACTGCTTAAGTTTTTTCCTGAAAACATACATGTGATCTTTTTAGTGCTTGCCTGAGGAACAAGACAGATGTTGCTTAGTAGCTTGGGTTGTTTCCTGGTATCGAGTGTAACCTACAGACAGAAAAGAGACGCTGGGAAAGATTATTGAATTACTACTCCACCACCTGAGGATACTTGAGAGACTTCTGTCACCAGCTGTTCTAAAATCTGTTCTAAAAATCAGCTTTTTGAAAATGCATTGCTGTTAAAATGTTCATATGGCAAAAAATGATGAACCATTGTGATCAGCTTCTCTGATATCATGCCATTTGAAATGTCTGAAAAGGAATGGAAGGCTCTTCTCGTTAGGAGCATGTCATCAGAGTTCTTCTGATGCTGCTGCTGGTTCACAGCACCGGAGAGGGCCGTGTAGCCAGGCCCACCACGCACTGGGTTAAGTGTTCTTGTATGGGGTGTGACCTTCACGTGTCTTTTTGGCTTATTTTTCTTTGCGTCTTCCTGTATGTATTTTCCCATATCCTAATATTTTGTCCCGTGAATTTGAAATCCTTCTGGGTATTGTTTTCTCACTAATCTCTCTAGGCAACTGCTGTCAGAAGGCAAAGTGTCCATCCTTTATTCCTCTGTAATTTACTTTTTTGATATGTAATGTATGTATACAGATGGATACACACACTATCCGCATTGTCTAGTTGCATGAAAGTTAATAGAATGTATACACAATGTATATTAACATGTATTAGACTCCCATATATTCCTGTATCTGCACACAGGTATAACTTATGTTGAGCTGGAGAGGGTGGGAGTGGTACTTAACCTAGATACGGCTGACTGGGAAACAGCCGTTTCTGAAGTTTCAGAATGCAGGAGCTGGTGAGAAAAGCAGACTGGGCGTCCTGTAGGGGCGCCTTCTGAAGTGAGGACTCCGTTTATGTCTAGTCCAGAGAGAGAAGGAGGCCTTCCCAGGAGTGTCTGACCCACAACAGGTCAGGCCACCTCAGTGGAAAACCATTTACTCAGTTATTCTCTGATCAAAAAAGGAAATCCGTAACTCCCCAGTTACTGGGCATTGGATACATTTTGGAGCCAAGATAGAAGTTAAGGAGATCTTTTTAGGGAGTGGAGAAAAAGAAAATTGAAAATAAACTGGCTGGGTTGTCCCCCGTTCCCCGCCAAGTCTCTTTGTTGCCCTGTTGAAAGTGTTGGCTTGCCTCGCCTCATCCTGCCTCTGCGGGCCAGTGGCCTCGCCCCTGGGGTGTGGCTCTTGGAAACTTGCTGCTTGGGGCGTGAACTTGAATCCCAGAGCTGCGTTCTTTCCCCAGGTGACGACAACGGGAAGAAGGCCAACAACCCCAACCACTGCAGCTGCATCATAGACCAGATCTTCACGGGCGGGCTGCAGTCAGACGTCACCTGCCAGGTCTGCCAGTAAGTGCTCGGCTTCTCGGGACACGGGCCGGCTCGTCTGGGCCGTGCCAACCAGGCCACGGTGTGGGACCCCCATCCTTCCAGCAAGACTGACTGCTCTCTGCTGCTGCTTAGTGAACGTCGTACTGTGTTTCCAGTCACAAAACTGTTGTGTTCTGAGAGGGTTTAAAGGCTTTAGGCTCCTGGAGCCTGACGTTCAGTCGACGCCCCTCCCGTCCTCCTCCTTGGTGGTGCGTCAGTGGCCCGGTGGCCATTGCAGGGGAGCTGCGGCAGCAGCAGCCGGCGGAGAAGCAGGAGCAGACCCCCAGCGACGGGTGTTGAGATGAAAGAGCTGCGGTAGGAAAGACAGGAGAAGTGAGCAGGTCACCCTGAGTTCGGGCGTCGTCGGGGCAGGGTCCTCAGGCGTGCTACCCTTCATCTGGAGGCCGTCCTTGTCACTGTCCATGCCCAGCACTGTGTGCATGAAGCTTTCCCCCACGTCTCTGCTTTCCTGAGGGTCCCTGACACCAGGAGCCTAGTCAGAGAGCCCCCCTCGAGAAGGACTAGACCACATGTGGCAGATCCTTGGCATGCGTGCTCTAAGGGCGTCAGTTTTAATTATTTGATGGTTTCGTTTTCTCCAAAGTAGTGTCCCTGATTCTTTACAAGTGAAGTCTCTGTGCCTAGAGCTCACACTTGCTTCCCAGGAGGAGGATGCATCAATTGGTGAGGTCAGAAGAACCTTCCCATTCGACCGCAGTGCACTCCCATGTTTTTATTCCATTTCAAATTTTTTAAAAACTCTGGTCATGATCCACGAAAATTATCGCAGAACCTATAATGGATTACCACTTGCAGTTTGTGAGGATAGACTAGATATTGGAAAATGGTCAGTTTTGCCTGTGTTACAAATGCAGTTTTCTGTTACATAGCATGTCGTTATGGGCTGGCCCCTAAGCAGTGTTAGACCCATAGTTTTAAATAACCTCTTAGTTGGCCCTGTGCTGCTGAAGTCCATCAGTAGGAGGTTGTCTCGGATTTACATCCTGTCCAATATGTGTAGTAAGTTTCCCCATCTGTGAGTTGCTTTTTGTATGTTTTGAAATAGATCTTTAGGAGGGAGCTGGCTTTGTTAAATAGAGCACGAGATGCCGCTCTTCAACCTGGGATGCTGGGCCTGGTTGGTGCATACTCTCACTGTGGGGTGTGCCTGGAGGTCTAACTTATTACCTAGGCTGCCGGTTCCCAGGTCCCAGGGAAGAACTCCGCAGTTCTCTCGTGCTGCTGAGATAGATCCATTGATTCAGAACCTCTGGACATGGGGCCCAGGAATTTATATTGTCCAAAAGTTCCCCAAATAACTGATGATCTTCTGGTTTGGAGACCATTGCTTTAGGAGCAGCCTCTGCCATAAGTGGTTTGTTCCCGTGCTCTTCCTCCCCAGGGCACCTCGGGAGCCCGGGACACACTGGGTGTGAGCGCTCCTGCTTTTCTGACCCATGTCGTTTGGATGACAGGGCAGAGCTGTGAGGGGATGCTGAGGTCCGCTCTCTCGGGGGATGCCTCTGCAGCCATGCGTGGATGTTGGTGCTCATGTGCTTCCTCTCCCTTTGCTTCTAGTGGAGTCTCCACCACAATAGATCCCTTCTGGGACATCAGCTTAGACCTGCCTGGTTCTTCCACCCCCTTCTGGCCCCTGAGCCCAGGGAGTGAGGGCAGCGTGGTGAACGGGGAAAGCCACATGTCAGGAACCACGACGCTTACGGACTGCCTGCGAAGGTAAAAAGCCTGTCTGCACTTTGTAGGGAAAGTAAGGCCTTGTCTGTTCGGCGGTTGTCTCCTTGCCTCGAGGCTGTCCGAGTCAAGTCCTGACAGGGACTTCAGTTTCAGGGCCACCCAGGGCCCCAGTAGGATTTTCTTTGACATGTTCAGTATAAAACGTGAGAAAAGATATGTCGCCCTGCAGACAGCTACCACTGGTGCCATGCCCAGTGGCCCTACTGATTTGTCACGTGTTTGCAAGTTAACTAGATATTTCTGTTCACCAGCCTTGTGTTGCGGGGTGTCTGTATCACAGGTGTTATCCCCCCCATGTAAATTAACAGAGCCAAAGAACAAGTGTGAGGCTCCTCCCCGTCTGTGACAGTAGCTTGTAGCAGCATCTGCGCTGGGAGAGTGGGCCTTGTCTGCCCGTGGTGGACGTGTGTCTCGAGTCCTGCACTCACAGTTGGGATTGATTTGTCCATTAACACGTCGTTGGTTGAGACAAGTGATAAGATCTGGGATGCTGTAAAATGTATTTAAATAGCGGTCACATACAATTGTGGGGAAACCAGAAACCTTTCTGGAACTTTGAGTTTAGTATTTCATAGCTTTTATTTTCTTTTTTTTTATTTATTTGTTTTTGTTTGTGAGGAAGATCAGCCCTGAGCTAACATCCGTGCTAATCCCCCCCTTTTTTTTCCCCCCTAAAGCCCCAGTAGATAGTTGTATGTCATAGTTGCACATCCTTCTAGTTGCTGTATGTGGGACGCGGCCTCAGCATGGCTGGAGAAGCGGTGCGTCAGTGCACGCCTGGGATCCGAACCCGGGCCGCCAGCAGCGGAGCGCGTGCCCTTAACCGCTAAGCCATGGGGCCAGCCCGCTTTTATTTTCTTTTAATCGCATTAGTTGAAGGTCACTGCAGATGAGTCCTTGTTGGGTGTAAGTGTTCCTATGAAGAGGGACAGGTTTCTAGGTGTTTACCTCGCTGTGTAGTCAACAGGCCCAAAGGTGCATATGTAGAATTTTAAAATGCATCAGCTTTGTTACACTGATAGATCTAGATATAAATGGAGTATCCAATTTTTAATTTGGAAAATAAACAAATGAACAATGAAAACCAAAAAACATTTTTCAAGCAAGTGTTTATCTCAAGTTTCAATAGAAGCAAAGCTTTGCCCACAAAGCAGGATCGTAACCAGGTGCACACATCACATCTGGTGATGGGTCTTGTAAGCCCCTCTCACATCCACAGGCTTGAGCTGCCCCCTCTTCTTTCTGGGCCACTGCTGTGTTGAAAAGACGAGAGGGTTTGTCCTTGGACTCCACACCCTGGGTTTTGCTGTGCATCTGTGGGCTGGTTCTCGTGGCTGCAGTGATTGCGCTCAGATGCCGCCCTCCATCCCTCCTGCTCCATGGGATCCCGCTGTTCTCCTTACGCTTCCACAGCTGGCCCCTCGTGGGGCAGACAGGCTCAGCTTCGGTCAGGGGGCATCGTCTCACCCTGATGAGGTGACAGAATTTCCAAAGGATGAATGAGGGTTTCTAGATCCGGTTGTGAAAAGATTGAATTTTGTATTTGTTTTTCAACTTTAAAAATTTGGCATAAACTGCATCGAAACATCTGTTTTATGGAGAGTTTTTTTTGTTGGTGGTGCTGACAAAGATTAGCCCTGAGCTAACATCTGTTGCCAATCCTCCTCTTTTTGCTGAGGAAGATTGGCCCTGGGCTCACATCCATGCCCATCTTCCTCTATTTTACATGTGGGAAACCTGCCACAGCATGGCTTGAAAAGCGGTGAGTAGGGCTGTGCCTGGGATCCAAACCTGCGAACCCCGGGCCGCTGAAGCGGAGCGTGCTAACTTAATCACTATGCCACCAGGCTGGCCCCAAGATAAATATTTTTTAAAGTGATGAGGAGAAAGAATGAAGGAAGAAATGGTTTGTTTTTTTTCATTGTGGAATTATAAACATCCCTAACTTGATGTACGTTTTTAGTAAGGAAATTGGTTAATTGAAACTATTGAAAGTGATAACTCTTCTCTTACCTCTCCCATCTTTTTCTCCTAAAAGATATGTTTTAAATGTATTTTAGATTCACGAGACCGGAGCACTTAGGAAGCAGTGCCAAGATCAAGTGTAGTGGTTGCCATAGCTACCAGGAGTCCACGAAACAGCTCACCATGAAGAAACTGCCCATCGTGGCCTGCTTTCACCTCAAAGTCAGTGTCCAGAAAACAGGCTCTGGTGGCAGGCTGTTTCTAGTCCCCAGTACAGCTGGGATCCTGTTGGTGGGTGTAGCGTACATTTAATGACTGGGAGACCCAGTCAGGAACGTGAAGAAACAAGGGGGCGACGAGTCTCAGCTCTGCCCCCTTCCCCTCTTGCTGGAGAGGCCTGTCGGGAGAAGAAAAGTGGTTCCTTCATCAGGGGAACGGGGCGCGAGTGCCTCCCCTGCGGATGGGGCTTGCTAAGGTGTCACTGCTCCTCCTGCCCAAGTCCTTCCATCTGCTCCCTAGGTTTTCTGCTTTTCTTTTCCCTGAAAGCAAACAAAGACCCTTAGCACCAGGGTCTACTCCAGGGATCAGCAAGCTCTTTCTGTGAAGGGTCAGATGGTAAATATTTTATGCTTCACAGCCACATGCGATGTCTGTTTCGTATTATTCTTTGTTTTATTTTATGACCTTTAAAAATGTTGAAAAAAAAACTCTTGCTAGCTTGCTGGCTGGGTTTGGTGGCCCCTGATGTGGTCAAAGGAGTCTTTTGTTTGGTGCAAAGAACAATATATTCGTTTTTGCTCCCTGGGGTTATGGATATTTGTTCTGTTTTCTATCATCTTACACTTTGCTGGGTTTGTCGTGAGATTACTTTTTTGTACATCTGGTGTTTATCACTTTGAACAATGATGTCATTTCCAGACTTGACTTGAACCCCGTAGATTAGATTTATATGGATTGATACTGTGTTACTGAGTCTGTAAGCTCTGGACGTGGCCAAAAGGCAGTTCAGAAAGTAGATGGAAAGCCCACTTTTGGGAGCTCACAGAGAGGTGCCATCGGAGGAAGCCCCTCACAGCCCTGTTCCTCTCCCTCCCACTTCTCACCCGTTTCTGTAGCGATTCGAGCACTCGGCCAAACTGCGGCGGAAGATTACCACGTACGTGTCCTTTCCCCTGGAACTGGACATGACCCCCTTCATGGCGTCCAGGTATGAGAGGGTTTGCGGGGCTGTGTCTGGGGTCAGGAGGGTGTGGCTCCATTAGGTCAGTGGTCGCACCAGGTCCCTGTGGAGGTGATTGTGACATCCATACAACTGCCCCTGCTCAAACCGAGTTACCATCCTGACCTTAAGCCCAGGCACATTTTAGTTTAATGAGTTGTTCTTCCTCAGATATTGTGTGTCGGCTCTAGGTTTTCCCCAGCAGTCCTTGATTAACTTCAGACTTGGGAAGTCATCAAGGTGGGATCGCAGCACGTAGGCGGTGTTTTAGATGATGGAGCTGATTCTGGAATACAGATAAACGTAGTTGATTTTGTAGTTGTAGAGTCCATTTCTCTTGTTTTCCTTTTTTTTTTTTGAGGAAGATTACCCCTGAGCTAACATCTGATGCCAATCCTCCTCTTTTTGCCATGGAAGATTGGCCCTGGGCTAACATCTGTGCCCATCTTCCTCTACTTTATGTGGGACGCCGCCACAGCATGGCTTGACAAGCAGTGCGTTGGTGCGCACCCAGGATCCAAACCTGCGAACCCTGGGCCGCCGAAGCAGAGCGCGTGTACTTAACCACTATGCCACCAGTCCAGCCCCCATTTCTCTTGTTTTCAAATCTTTATATCATAGACCACTGAAAGTTACCCTCCAAAAAAACCATGGCACTAACATATTAGAGATGTGTTAGTTTCCTAGGGGCACTGTAACAAATCACCACAGACTTGGTGGCGCTTAAGCAGCAAGGGGCTGGCGGGGCTGCAGTCCTCGAAAGGGCTGAGGGGAGATTCTGCTCCTTGCCAGAGCTGGGGCCACGTCGATCTGGACTGGCTCTGGCTCCACATCTCATGGCCGGTGTGCTCTTTGCCGTGAGGTTCAGTTTGCCAGCCTGAGCCTCGGTTTCCTCACCCTAATGCGGGGATAATCTCTCCTACAAAGGAGAGTTGTTGGAGGAGCTCGAAGGCGTGTGTAAGGTGGACCCAGCGTGGGCTCTGGCGTGGTGGGGCCCCAGCAGTACTAGTATTGCGTTCAAGCCAGGCGTCTCTGGTTCGTCATTTTAAATGATGCTGAGTCTGCTGCTGTTTGTTACAGCAAAGAGAGCAGGATGAACGGACAGTACCAGCAGCCCATGGACAGTCTCAGTAACGATAACAAGTAAGTGGTCCCCTGTGGTGCGCCCTGGGCGTCCCGGAGGTGAGCAGGGCGTGTGGGACTTTGGGTCGGCCTTGCAGAGAGGGCCCCGTCCGCGTGTCTGGGCGGCGACCTCGTGTGTGAGGGCCAGGGGCACAGCTCTCGTTCCCCTGGGCCACTGGCTGCTTCCTGTCCTGCTGCCCCTTGACCTTGTTGAAGACGAGTAAGCCCTCCGTCAGGAGAGGGCGTTTCACACCTGCGCCATAAACGCTTCCTCCTGTCGTAGGAGCCCGACCCCTGGCCCTGGCCCCTGTGTGTGAGGGAGGGTCGGTCTGGTGGCTCAGTCCGAGAGAGAGCTCAGCGTCTTTGACCTGGGCCCCTTGGCCTCTGCCTCCCCTCAGCATCGTGATGAAGCCTCTGTTCTTTCCCTCACCATCCTTTTCACTGTTGCTGGGATAGGAAGAGTGGAGGGAGAGCGTGGTTACAGACCTCTCACCGCTGGCTGCTGTCGCCATCTCCACTAACGGGGGCTTTGGCAGAGCAGCTCAAGAGCCGAGTGGGGCCGAGCCGGCCCTCTTGCGCCCTCCCGCTGTGCGGCAGCTCGGGTTCCTGCCTGCGGGGTTGCCGTCTGGGGTCAGCGGGCGCCCCTCACCCTGCAGCCTTCTGACTGCGTGGGCTGTCTGGTGTCCGGGGGTGATGAAGTTGGGTTAACTGCTGCGTCTCTCTGTTCCTTCCTCCCAAACCAGATACTCCTTATTTGCGGTTGTTAACCACCAGGGGACCCTGGAGAGCGGCCACTACACCAGCTTCATCAGGCAGCACAAGGACCAGTGGTTCAAATGTGACGACGCCATCATCACCAAGGCCAGCATCGAGGACGTGCTGGACAGCGAAGGGTACGTCCGGGGGTGGCAGCTTGTTTCCCCACGTGTACATCTGACTCGAAAGCCACGTCTGTTTTCAGTCCCGTTCATGGAGGTTCACCTTCGGTTGCTGAAGTCACGAGGCTTGCTCAGGACGGGGTGCCAGCCTCGATCGGTCACTGGTTGGGAGAGAATATAGCTGACCAGGGCACGCTGGATTAATGCACAGAGAACATGGTGGCAGTCATTTATTCTAACCACAGTGTGAGCTGACACATCGCTTCCTTAGCAGCTCCTCTACTCTTTATTCGTTCTATTCCTTCCTGGCACGTCATCGTCCACCTTTAGCTTTGCTGAGTTCCTAGTCTTGAGCCCGTCAGTAGGATTCCTAGCCCCAGGGATGAGCTACCGGGAACTCGGACTCACAATCTCAGGCACCTGGACTTGGTGTTCTGAGCAGTGGGGAAGCCCCTTGGGAGCATGTATGTAGGCCAGTTTGTGTTGGAGAGGACAGCCCTGTGGCAGTGAGGAGGCCGGAGCAGAGGTGGATTTGGACTGGAACCCGTGGCAGGAGTCTCCCCAAAGTAGCCCCTGACACAAAGGCAGTGGCAGTCCCAGACGAGAGAGGCTGCGATCCAGAGCTGTGTAGGAGGCAAGGCTGACTGGACTCCTGACTGGCTGGTAGACGGGCAGAAGGACGGGCCTGGGGGCTTGGTCATTAGGTGGGCGCGCTGCCGCTACCTGGCTAAGGACCCTCCTCGTTGGGGACTAAGAACCAAAAACCATCCAGCCAAGCAGTCACACTGCCGTTGCACGCCGAGGCCCTGGTGCAGGTGTCCCGGTCGGGGAGGGTTGGTTCTGCTTTAACTTCTCATGGATTAGGACGTTAGCACGCTCTCTGTTTCCACTCCTCAGATACCTACTGTTCTACCACAAGCAGTTCCTGGAGTACGAGTAGCCTTATCCACAGCTGGCCAGAAGAAGTGAAGGCGATGAATTGGCAAGCCTCACAGGATGATCCCCGACCTCCCCGACAGGACACCGCCACCCACATGGAAGTGCCCCAGAGCTCAGGGTCCTCTGCGGCCTGGGTCCAGAGGCGGCCCCTATGGGTGCCCAGGACCGTGGTGTTTGGACAAGCACTGCGGTCGGGCTCCAGGAACTGCATAACGTGAAGGCTCTGCTCTGCGTGGGCAGGGGCGGGGGAGATGTGTCACGAGTGTGTCTCCTGTGCTCCTCAAGAAAGTGTGTGGGTGACGGGGGTACCCTCAGCGTGGAGCAGCCTGGCCCCGGTGCTTCAGTTCAGCTGCACGACGGCGCAGAGTTTAAAAAGGCGCCAGCTCGTTTTAGAATTATGGGTCCATTAAAGCAGTAGTGGAGACAAAGGTCCTGTGCAGGGACCGAGGACTTTGTGAGTATCTTTCTCTTTGTGAGTTTTAGGATTAGGTATATGTAGTGTGGAACTTTTAGCCTCCGTTTTATCAGCAGACAGGAAGAACCGCCCAAGCCTGTGGAACTGAAGATGCTAACTGGGGTTTCCAGCCACGTCTGTTCTGCAGAGAACTTAGCATCAGACTGCATGTGGAGGCACCAGCCCAGGTGTTGTCTCTCGGTTTTCTGAAAATAGGCATTTTCTTATCCCCCTTCCTTTCCTCTTTTTCCACAATGGTGAATTTCATAAATGTAATGATAGTAATGTGAATGAATTATTGAGTTTATACTGAAATCTAGATAGTTTTCCCTTTTTTCTTGAGAGTGAATCTTGCTTTTTAATTGGTGCTGTTTTTGCTGCCCCCCCCCCCCCCCCCCCCCCCCCGGGCGTCCCTGTCCTGCTTACAGCTGCTGGGTGCAGCAGAGGAGGATCAGGCTGCAGCGAGTAGCTGTCTCTGTCACGTGACTCTCCTGAGTGGATGAAGCCTTTCTCAGTGGTTTCGTTGTCTCCCTTTCTTGTAGTTCCTTCCTGGCCTCCGGTCCCTCTGGCTGGCCTGCCGCTGCTTGTTGGCTGGAGTGTGGGCGTGCAGCTGGCGTGGCTGCCAGGGGAGGTTGCCCTTGGCCGTGGGTGCTCTGCTTTACCTTCAGTGTAGGTGCCCTTGTCGCGGGAAAAGATGGCTTTGTGATTGAGCTGTGGGAAGAGCTGACTGAGGAGATGGGACAGTGTGAGTTGTTCCTTATAAGATACCTTGCATGCGTCTGTCTATTCAAACCCAAACTTAGATTGTCCATTTCTGAGAAATTATAGCCCAGAGACGTGGGGGAGGAAACGTTGCTTTAATGCAGTTTGTGAGACCAGCTGTACCTGCCCTGGGAGCCCAGTCTGCCTCTGAGCTGTCGAACGTTTGCTCCTAGAGAAGAAGGGACCATCTGGTGAAGAGTCAGCAGACTTGTTTCGTCAAGGGCCTGATTGTGAATATTTTAGGCTTTGTGGGCTGTGTGATTCCTGTCATAGATAATACGAGAACATGAGCATGGCTGTGTTTTAATGAAGCTTTATTTATGGATACTGAAATTTGATTTTCACATAATTTTCACATCATGGTTTCCCTATTTTTTACACTATTTAACAAGTGTAAACTATTCTTAGGTGACAGGCCGTAGAATAAACAGTGGACCAGATCTAGCTCATTAAGATAGTTCAGTTAGGAGTTGAGTAGTTACTGCTCAGTGTGGAAAATGCTAGAATATGTGAATCAGCAATCATATACTGCAGAATCATATATGGCAGAATCCTTAGTGATACAATTTTTTAAGTACTTGCTCAGTTCATTCTCAGTTGTATTTTTGCATTTAAGGAATGCAAGTTTTAAAGCATGTTTTAAAATAGTAAGCATTAGCAGAGAAATATGGCTGGGTGCAGGATTTTCAGAAATGGCCCCATGTGCCCGTGTGTGTTGTGTGTGCCTGTGCTGTGAAGGTGCCTTTTTGGGAGAGCTGTTGTCTTTTAATAGGGACGAATCTGATGGGAAGGAGAGTTGACAGCAGTTAGCCCGCAGAGTTCTGAGCCATGAAGGCTCTTCCTGTGGTGTGCTGCCTGCGGCCGCCTCCCTTTACTGAGATGTCTTGGATGCAAAGTGGGGACAAAGCAGATGGATTGGCCGTGGGGTATTGTGGCAGATTCCCCGGGGCCTGGCCAGCCCTGCTTCCCCGCATGTGTCTCGGCCCCTGCACCCCGTCCTGTCTCCTCTCGGGTTCAGGGGCTCAGCTGCTCTGAGCACATGAGGACTGGGGAGAGACAGTGAGACCACGTTTATCTTTATAGACAGGAAACTTTTGTGTCCAAATTAATTCTCTTTGTTCCCTTTGGCATTCGCATTCTCAGCGCTTACCTCTCTGCTGCTGAGAAATTCTCCTGCGACTGGAGGAACTGCTTGGGGGCCCCCGGGGGGTACTGCTGCTGCGTCTTGCACTGCGAAGAGGGGGTCCTGTGGTCGACGTGCCCGTTTGAATTCACTTTGTTGGAAACGAAATATTACAGGATGGGTTTGGGAATTCATTTCCTTTTAGTCCCAATCACGCTATTACATTCAGGAGAATGGTTTCCTTGTTTCCTGACCATCACCACTCTGTAGGTTTTCTGATCATGGTCAAGTGCGTTTGACCACTAAGGAATCGTTGGGTGACCCCCCCCACACCAGTGTGTGTAAAGTCTCCTGTGTTTCTGAGATGATGGCTGTCGTTCCAGAGCCTCACAGCAGAACAGTGGACTTTCCCTCCTCGGGTGTCTGGAGGGAGTTCTGAGCAGGGTCAGTGCTGGGGGAGTGGTGCAGTGCGGACCAAGTGGCCAGGCCCCCCTCTGCAGGCCGGGCGCGGGTGCACCCAGGACTCTGCCTGCAGCGCCACCACACGTCTCCCCCTGCTGGCATTGTTTGGCTTGTGTGTATGCTTTCATTATGTAAAATTGCTGTTCTTTTGACAGTTCAAGTGACTTTCATTTACTATAGCTTTGAAAACAAGAATTGTAAGAAAAAGATTCCAATGATCATGCTGTGGACTTTATTACCAAGATGTTTACATCTCCCTTTTCCCTGTCATTTTGAGGAACCCTTTGACTCTTCCCCCCTTAATGGCTTGTAGTCTTTCCTATGTCATAATAAAGCTACCTTTTATTCTGAAAATCAGCCAGCTGTCCCCTTACTGACGCCAGGAGCCGAAGAGAGGGGGCAGGGGACGAGAGGCCTTCATCTGTGAACACCAGCAGGGCAGCCCCTGCTGAGACAGGACCCTGCCGAGTTCAACCTCCAGGGCTGCGGTCTGGTCTGTGGCAGCTCTGGGTGTTAGAAAGTCGTGCAGCCGTGTCGTCTCGTGTCTGTGATTGGCCCACTGCCTCTTTGTCCTTCTCTTCCTCCGTTTGTGGGCAGGATGATGACGTATCTGGGATTCAGGACAGCCATGGGCCCTCAGACGTGCACGTCATAAGTCACCTCAGGGGCTTCTCTGAGTGCAGGAATCCTTGACAGAGTTGATCCCGAGGCCTAGGATGTGGATGGGAATCTGCATGGGTCACAGGCTCCCCAAGTGATGAGAAATAGCGTATGTAAATGAATAAGCAAAGGGAAAGTGTGCATTTAGCGCTGTCCTGGACTCTGGTCATGGGCTGTAGGTGACCTGTGATGTCCTCCTCCTGCTCTGTCCACATTCCCCTTCCCTGGAACCGCGCTGGTTTTTCCCTGGTCGACCCACACCTTCGTTCCTGAGACGTCTTTCTTTGGATGCCTTTGTAGCGAGTTCCTTTACTTCCCTACTTGGAAATACCCAGAGGCTCCAGGGAATCCTGCTGGGTTCCAGGCTTAGGCCTCCCATCCCCATTGTGGGGCAGTCTCTCCAAACTAAATAGAACCCGTGTTGTGTCCCCCAGGGGAGGCTCCCACCTTGAGGTCTGAGACCCTTGAACCCGCAGAACCTGAGTTTTCCAAGACAGGAGTAAGAAACACTTGTGACTAGATCATTCAGTGTAATACTGGAAAGTGCCGACCCCACTCCCCTCGGACCCGCACGTGCTGGTGGTGGGGGTCGGCACGTGTGGTGGTCTCTGGTTAGAAGCAGAAGTCATCCTGGAAGGCAGAACCCCGTCCCTTCACCACAACCGAGTCTTCAGTGAGCCCAGCTGCATCCAGGTGGGAGTGAGGTAGCAGGAGCAGCTAGTTGCATGGGTACGAGCCTGTTGCTGCATGTCCTTTACTGTGAATCGGGTTCCCTGATGAAGCAGTGCTATGTGGGATGTTGTGATGGTGGATGGTGGTGCCGACAGGCAGGCAGATCCATATCCAGAACATGGGTTTATTCCAGTGAAGGCAAGTCTCTGCCCCTTCCGTGAGGGAGGAGGCCCAGTGTAGTCAGCCCGCTTCCATGTGGTCCCCCTAGGAGATGCTGTGCCAGGGATTCGGTGCTAGTGTCTGTTGTCAGCTTTTAGGCACTCAGCAGTAGCTAGCCTTGGTCAGGGTAAGTCTGTGACATCGAGCCTATGCTGGCCTCCACCCCCGTCTTGATGGCCACTTAGTTCATGGGTCCACTGAGCAAGGGTGGTGGCAGGGGAAAGAAGCTGACTGCATCCACAAGGCATGCCATTTTGTGCCCCTGATCATTAAGAGCATCCTCAGTAGGGATTCTCTGCCGGGCACACATGGATGCAGATATCTTCACAGGCTGTGTCCATTTTGAGAGGCCTGTCCCCACCCAGATCTTGTCACTAATCTTTCAATCCTGTTCCAAGTCCTTCATCCAGCCAAGCTGTTAGCAACTGCCCGTGAATCGACGTAGAAGGACTTTCGGCACTGTCTCATTCCAGATGAGACGGATAACCAGACGTACAGCTCCAGGTTCCGCTCGGGGGATTTTCCTTCATCACTGTCTTTCAGGACCATCCCCAGTCGTCTGGCCACAAGGAGCACCTGAGGAGGCCTTGAAGAGTCTGGGCCACCTGCTCGTGCGCTCACTGTTCCCTCCGGACGTTCCCAAGCTCAGTCTGCTGCTTGGGACTGCCAAGTCCCACTTCGTGCCACTTCCACGAGGTGAGAGGTGGCTGCTGCACACGCTCACCCTTAAGGCTCAGTGGCTCGGACAGTCCTCGTGTGACGGGATGCTCGGGCTGCACAGTCAGCTGACGTCCATGATTAGGTGTTCAGTCTCTACTGTTAAGTGCAAGGAGCAAGCAGAAGCCGTGTCTGAAAAGGAGAGTACCTGGGGAGGAGGATGTAGATTTGATTTGCTCTGAAATCCTGGCGGTCTGTGCTGTTATTTCTCTTGGTCCTTGCTAGA